ATAGAAAGGGGGGAGGGGCAGGGAATAGAGGGGATAGGAAGAGAGTGTAGGGGAGGAGAGAGAGGAGGAAGGAGAGGAGGAAGAGGAAGGGGAGGGGCAGGGAATGGAGAGAAGGAGGAAAGGAGACAGAGAGAAAGGAAGAGGGGAAGGAAGTAAATCAAGACAGACAGATGGTGGTCCAGAGAAGAAGGCTCTCGCCTTCTGCTTCCAGCAGTATGGATAGAGAAGAAGCACGGTCCCGAGGAGGAAAAGGTTGTCTGGCTCACCAGGTACAACGTGGAAAGCTACACAGCCTCCCTGTGAGAAAAACGACCCTTTCCCCAAGCAGAGGTGGAAAGAGGGCTAACGTAGTCCCATGTAGCGTGGGACTGTGGTGCAGCGGCCGTGTGAGAATGTAGACTGTGGGTCCTTGGAACGCTGGCTCCATTTAGCAGGAGCTGGAGAAGGGTCTCAAGAACTGAGCATGTTTGCCTCTAACCCAATAAGGAAAGCTCAGGAAAAATATGACAAAGAGTTATAGATAATAGATAAATAAATGATGTGTGTATAGACAGATGTAGTTGCTCATAGTAAAAAAATGCTAATTTCTTTCACTTTTAAAATATATTTTTATTTAAAAATTTTAGACATTGTATTTTGATCGGAATCTCCCCCAACTCCCCCAGATCCTCCCTGCCTCCCTACTCACTCAACCTCATGTCCCCCTTCTCTCTTAATTAAAAAGAAATTAAGGTACCATTTACATACAGCGAAATTTCCCTTTGGAACACAAGTACGTGGCTTTTTGGCCCCAAACTTGTACCTACCAGTCATTGCAGAACATTTCTCTCACTGTCCCATCTTCCCAGTACTCCCATGTAGGTATTTCCTCTCCTCTGTGGACTATTGTCTGCTTCACGTCTCTGGTTTGAACTTCAAAATGGTGTCACACACATGAGTCATACATGGGCACCTTTGAGGCCAGCTTCTTTCCCTTGCAGTCATACGTTTGTGATTTATTCACGTTGATGCATGGCTTCGGGAGTTTGTTTCTTTTTCTTTTTCCAGTGTTTGATGATGTGTATGTACCAGGGTTTTCAGCTTTGGGGTGGGAGCTGCAGATCAGGCTGTTAGCATGTGGGGTTTGGTGGGAAAGGAAGTTTTCATTTCACTTGGGTAAATGCCTAGGAGTGGGGTTGCTGCGCTACACTGTGCTGTGTGTGTAGGTTTGTGAGATTCTGCCAAATACATTTCAAGGTGGTTGTAACAGTTTGGATCCTCTGCAGCCTGTAAGGAATTTCAGCTGACTTACTTCTGTTGTCAGCTGAAACACTGTGATTTTGCTGGATACAGTGATATGAACCTATAGTCAAAGCTACTTAGGAAGCTGAGGCAGGAGGATCACTTGACTTGGAAGTCCACCCTGGACAACATAGAGGGACGGGACATCACTTCAAAGAACAATCTGATATTAAATCCTGTTAGTAAAACTACATTGTGGTTTTATTTAGTCTCACTTAGTTACTGTTTTTATACTGATCATAAAGTATCAGCTGAGATGTTTTGCCCACTTTCAAATATTCTTTTATCTACTTATTAACATTTTTATTATAAACTTTTTGATATTCCAAAGTCTCGCTCTCTTCCAGAAGTTCTATAGTTTGTACATACAAGTTTCATAGTTTGACATCTGTGATCCGTTTTACTCAAAAGTTTTATGTAAGATACAAGGCACGGCTCTAGGGTGTTTATTGGTTTAAAGATATTCGAGTTGTTTGAGTGTTTACGGAAAAGATCATATGTCCTCAGATGGATGAGGGCCTCAGCATCACTGTTGAGACTCAGTGGACCCATGGGGGAGCTGCTGGACCATCTGTGACAATGCTGCTCTCACTGTTTCATGGTGTGACAGGATGTTCAGAAGCAGGCCTGCACAGCTTCCAGCTTGCTTGTCCCTTTCTGCATTTCAGCTTTTACTTTTTACTTTTTCTTCAAATTTTGAATCCGCGTACCAATTTTTTTTTTTTAAGTCCTGCTGGCATGTTGATAACTGCTTTGACCCAGTAGGTCAGTTCAGGCATAATTAGCATGTAACAATGTTGAAGCATTGGGTACACAGGGACAGTGCACCTCTCCATGACTCAGGTCCCTCTGGTTTCTTTCATCTTTTCAAAATATAATTGTACTTATAGAACTCTTGGAGATATTTCATAAGAAGCACTTGTAAGAATTTTAGTCTTCTATCTGCTGCCTCAAACAATACTTATAAAATGTTATATTAATAATCTTCATTACTGCTATATTAAAAATGACTATGTATTCTCTATACCTGTTCTAACTATCTTATTTTCCTTCCTTCTTTGTTTCTTCCTTTCTATCATCTACCTATCAATGTACCTATCTGTTCTTCTCTTTCTATCATTTACCTATGTATCTATCTTTCTTTCTCTCTTTTTATCATCTGTCTATGTATCTATCCATCCTGTGTCTATTTATACATTCATATATGTACATACTCTGTATAGAAAGAACACCATAACATATAATAATAGTAATCTAACGTCTCAAATTTTGTTTTAAGGAAATCATTTTTCCCCATTTTAAATAGCTTTGCTTCCTTTATCTGAGGCAAGTTTAATGTAACACTTTCTTTGGAGGTAAAATCTCAGGCAGTTGAGTGAGGAGCAAGATGACAAACGGGATAAAGAAATCTGAAGTGTAAGCCAGGCGGTGGTGGCGCACGCCTTTAATCCCAGCACTCGGGAGGCAGAGCTAGGCAGATCTCTGTGAGTTCGAGGCCAGCCTGGTCTACAGAGCAAGATCCAGGACAGGCTCCAAAACTACACAGAGAAACCCTGTCTTGAAAAACCAAAAAAAAAAAAAAAAAAAAAAAAAAAAAAAAAAAAAAAAAAAAAACACAAAAAACAAAAGAAGAAAGAAAAAGAAAAGAAATCAAAAGTGGTTGTTTACGGAGGCAGTCACATAGTAATAAAAAGTTATGAGTGATGGCTCATCCATGTGGGCTGCAACTGGAAGGAGCCAGGGAATGGAATGTATCAGCTCCTCTCATGGCTTGTCATTTCAAAATCCTCATAATTGACTCCATCCTTCATGCTTCTGGTAAAGGACTTGGCATCTTACAGAGGGATAGTTCCTAGGGAAGACAAGCCATATACCCACTTTACCTGCTACATGGAAGATACACTAGTCAGTGAAGAGGTGCTGGAGATGTATCTAGAGTGCCCACAAGCCTGGGAGCCAATGGGAACTTTCTAAATCTTGGGCTTGAATACACCCAAGATTTATTAACTGTGCCCCAAGCGAAGACACACTGAAAGAAAATACAGCCAGTGAGTTAAAGACAATGCCAGACCTCGCTGTAAATATTGATCTGGCGGAATAACAAGGTCCAACAGTGAATAGCCAACACTGAGAAATGTCAACAGACTGGGTTTCCATGAAAATTATAACAACTGGAAAGGATTCAGTTTCATTGATGAGGAGTACCTACATCAGTGAGGGTACGTACAGCTGCCATAATGCTGTCACAACAAGCCCTATAGACCAGTGGCAGTAACTACTGTGCTATGAATGCCTGCTTACAACAGTACCTGTAGGTTATATCAGTGTCAATCTCGTGCTCAACACAGGGTCAATGGGGCTTGAAAGTTGTAGGGGTTCCATATGCTGGATGGAAGAATATGAACAAAGAAGGAATGGCCAGGTGACTGGGGGCTTATTTCCACCGACGTTTCTAGAACGGCTTCAAAGAAGGTAAATGTTTTCCACAGAAGAGTTCAGAGTATTGTCAGATGGCCTCTCCTCACCTGCAGGAGTGCATGTTCCCACTTGTGTGTGTGTGTGTGTGTGTGTGTGTGTGTGTGTGTGTGTGTGTGCATGCACGCACATGAGGGCCACAGAAGACCTTGGGTGTCATCTTTTTCCTGTAGGTTCTGGGGACTAACCTCCGTTCTTGCACATCAAGCCCTTGACTGAGCGAGTTATGCCTGTAGTCCTTTGAGACTTCGATTGAAAAACAAATTTGGGGGGTTGGCAAGATTTTACCATGTTGGTAAAGCCATAAAATAAGGACAACTTTGACACAAGGTTATTGAGTAGTGCCTAGTGATGTAAGAAATGCCCACTCACTGTGGAGTTTCTGGACATGAGCTCTGTTAGCATGGGATGACCAGAGCAACTGCCACTAAAGAAGTGACGTTGCTTTGGAAGGAAGTCATTTCTTTCTAATAGGATTCTCTGAAGTGTTCTTAGTCTCATCTGTGTGTGTTGAACCAAGAAGACCTGGACTGAGTGTGTAAATGGCCAATAAAGTCCTGAATCAGTGTATACTGTTTGACATGAGCATGGCCATGTCCAGGACCCCAGTGCCTCAGACCCATGGGAATAGCAAAGCCTTCCTCTGGTCCAAGTACAAGTGTTTAGGATGATTGACCAGTGTGTGTAAAATCTAGCAACTGCAGCTTCCTGCTCTGGACTAACTGCAACCTGGACCTGTTTGGTGTCTGCAGAAACCCCCTACGGAGGCTAGCTAACGCCTCCCATGTGCTGTGCACAATAAATGCTGACGTCGGGGTTGCTGGCAGAGTCAGTGCTGCTCCATCTGAGTGAGCACAGCCTGGCTTTTCTGTGTGTCTGTCTGTCTGTGTGTCTGTCCTGTCTTCATTTCCTTGCCACCTTGGCCAGGGTTCCAGGACCAAGTCATTCATGAGGTGGTTCATATGGAATTCTTTAATGTGTTATTGGCTACTAACATTTTTCTGGCCGGGAGGTGGTGGCGCACGCCTTTAATCCCAGCACTCGGGAGGCAGAGCCAGGCGGATCTCTGTGAGTTCGAGGCCAGCCTGGGCTACCAAGTGAGTTCCAGGAGAGGCGCAAAGCTACACAGAGAAACCCTGTCTCGAAAAACCAAAAAAAAACCCCCAAAAAACAAAAACATTTTTCTGACTCCCTATTTTGACTACCACTAACTTATTTACCTGCAATTTTCTTTTATTCATTCATTCAGCAGATAGGACCCTGAGGAAAGATATGGTATGAGGACACAACAGCCATAACAAATCAGGACTATCTGTGATAAGGAACTTACAGGTAAAGAATGCCAATGTTAAAAGGTGTTGTTTATAAAACTGTGTGTTGGGCACAGGATGTGTGACAAAACTTGAATTCACAAAAGCAGCTATCCAAGTGGACTTTGTAGTCCAGGAATGTTTCTAAGAGAAAATGGTATCTAGGATCAGCTCATGGGATCAGTGGGGGTCCTGGGCTAGGTGGTGCTGAGGAGGTAAAAATGTTAAGGGCACTCAGTTAATTTTGTCTGGGTTGTATCTGAGAGTCATAGTTGGCCAGCCTCAATGATGTTGGCTTGAGTATTTAGTATTTTGGAGATCTGTTTCTTCTTCTGGCCATACATTCGCCCGAGCCCAAGTCTTAGTACCCCTCCAGTTCCAAAGGGCTGGATAGGAAGTGGGAAATTTGAGATGAATAGTAAAGAATTTTATTCAATAACAAGGAAGCAAGGGCACTTGTCAAAGCTGATGTTGAATTACTAAATTGCGTCATTCTTGTGGGAGTCAGGTCCTTCCTTCTACCAGGAGGTCCTGGGGACTGTCAGGCTTGGTTGAAGGTCCATTTGTCCATTGGACCATCTCATGGATATCCTAAGCTTAAACTTTAAATGTATCTTATGCATTTTGCATTACCTTCTCTTTTGTGATGAATTTGGAAGATAAAGTAAGAGCTAAAGAGGACCAGCAGCAAAGTGAATCTTTGACTCATGGCTAGAAGAACCACTGAGCACCGCTGATCTGTACCTGGCTGCAAAAGCAATGGGATGTCCATGTTTGCTGGGCTGAACTTCCGGCACTTCCTACCTTGTTTGTTCTGGAAGCCTCGCCCAGGCTACCACAAATGCTATCCCTAAGAAGTGTTTCTGGGACTTCCTCTGAACTTGACGTGGTCACATAGTTCATTAAGCCGTGAAAAAGATGGATCAGGAATCAAGACAAGCTTTTTTTTGATTTTTTTTTTTGTGGGGGGGAGCTATGACAACAATTGAGATATAATTTTTCAAAATAAGGGTGATGAAGACACGCCAGGGTGAGGATCAAACATGGGAGATTAAATTTGCAAGTGTCATTTTGCAAGAGTTTTTAATTGCTGGTCATGTGTGATTTTATTAATAACGTGAAGAGCAAACTGTCTTGTGTGTTTCATTCTCTGTGGGTACCCATTATCTGCATCCCAGTTGTACTTTTTGATGGGCTGCTTCCTTTAGCTGAATTCTGTAGGAAATTTGCTGGCTTTGTAAGTCAATGAGTTTCCCCTAAAAGCTGCGAGGGGGTCTATTCTTTCTTGTGTCTGGAATTGCCTTGTGTTGTCCTGATAGTCACGCGCAGTGGCCTGTTTAACCTACAACAGTGTATTTGCACTGCTTCTAACCCCTACATTTCCCTGCATGTTTTTATGCAGCATACTCTTGCTGGTCTTAGGAGTATTTCTCATTAGGTGGATTGCAAAAGCCAGCACCAAATGCCAAATCCAAGTTTGTTACACAAGCATTTTGGAAGGTCAGAATGAACTCCATGACACATACCAGAAGTCAGCTCAAAGTTTTATTTCCCCCAAAGACTTTTCTTATGAAATCTGGTTTTCATGTCTCCCTGTGTTATTCCCCGATGACCTGCTTTGATATTTTAAAATATAACCAGCACAAAGTATTTTAGAAAAATCCGTGAATTTTATTTTTCTTTGAAATCTCTTGGAATTTTGTAAATGTTTCTTCCTAGAAGGGTATTTTGCATGGAATGATACTTGCTGGCTGTCGAAAGATCTTGGTTTGGAGCTGGAAATAAAATTAGGGATTGCGCAGTCGGATCTTGTTCGTTGGGGAGAAGAGAGCTGCGAGAGCTGAAATGTCTTGACTAAGGTCACAGGTCAAGTGCTGCCATGACTCACAAGGCTGCCTCTTGAGTTCTGCGCATCACTCAACATTCACGAAGCCATAATTTATCTCTTCTGATACCTTGACCTCGTCAGGCAGAAATGCAGATATTATGAATCATTTTTTGGTGTTTTGAGCAAGGGAAAACATTGAGACCCAGAAAAAGTAAGTTATGTCTCTGAATTACATTGCTCATTTATTCCGCAAATAGTAATTGACCTGCTATGTCTTCCAGGCATTGTTCTAGTTTTCTTCTAAAAACGGACTGAGATGCTGTTCTCCTTTCATCAGAGAATGAAAGAGGAGACACTGTGAGTATTAATGGCACACTGAGCAGGCTTGCTTCCTGCCTCCTACCCAAAGGGTTTTTTTTTTCCTACGTCTTTGTTAATCAATTAAAATAAATGAGTTTTTGGATGGATTCATTAATTCTCTATTACTACGAAGAAATAATCCTTTTAAAGAATTTGTCCTGCCAAGAAGGCCAAACAGCAATAAAAAGAGGGCTTCGGAGAGTTATATAATTTTATGTGCTCAGGAGAATAGAGGGGAAAGAAGTGCATGTTTCTCTCCTCTCCAGCTTTGAGATTTATGATTGGTGTGTTACCATAATAATGATGGAATGCTGGGGGAAGACACAGGCTTGAGACTGTGCCTATAATGCCACAGCCTTAACGTGTAGAAAAGTTAGTTCTGACAGGAAGTGCCACAAGATTCTGCAATCCACAAGAAGGCACTCAGGAGACAATCAAATCAAATCAAATCGAAGGAACCTGCTATCCAATCTGTTTCATTAAAGATGAAAATTAAAATGCTTTACAACATGCTTTACCCTTCCTCTCTCCTCCCAACAAACAAAGGTTTGGGAGGCAGCTTGCAATTGCTCATCAAGGAAAAAGACCAGACTCGGGTTTTAAATGGCTTCTTCTGAATGAAGCATTTAATGCTAAAAGGAACATGCTGTCTCCTTGGGACTTGTAAGGTATGACATTCATTGTACTTGCTGGCACTTGATCAAGCGTCTCCTTGGCCGAAGCAAGGAGGTAAATGGCTGGCTGTGTAGGCTACTGACTTGGGTAATCAGCAGAATTTGGTGGATTCACTGCACAGGAGTGTTCTTGGACTGGGTACGAACCTGGGAGGCACATCTCCGAGTCCTTTCACACTCTACTTGCCACTGTTGGCAGGCCCGCCCAGACTGGCATCTCCTGTAGAGCAGAGATACCATCCTGAGATTGTTTAGGTTTTGAAATTCGTTAGTTTAACACGGCACAGTACTGTCTTTACTTGGGTATATTTGTTCTCATTACTCTGCCTTCCCCGCCCCCCACCCCCAGAATATTAACCTCTCAAAGCTACAATTTGCACACTGATCTATTAATACATATATTACTGATCTATTATGATAATATAATACATATATAATACTGATCTATTAATACATACCAGGTGACATCACTTTAGAGACAGCTTAGGAAGGCTCTGCAGTGGGTAGAGAAGACACAGGGCTTGTCTTTAAGAAGGCTGTGTGTGTGTGTGTGTGTCACAGGGGGGTGACTCTTCTGATGACAGCCTGATGTGGAGGCTTGGATGAGAGATACCTGCAAAGTGCAGTGGGAGCTTGAAAGGGGTTCAAAATCTCTCTTGTAAGGCGAATTACAGCAGCAGCACTCACACTGTGCTGTCTGGACCCCAAGGGTGAGGAAGACAAGAGACACGGCTGGAGTCTGGATTACCCTGCTTTCCCACTCCCCTCACGTAAAGGACTGTCCTTCTTGTTTCATATGTGTATGATTATTTTGTATTTCTATGTCAGATGTCTATAATCTAGTCACTTTATTAACTTCTTGAATGCTCGAATACTTCTGGCAGCAGAAGGCAGTATCATCCTTTTGCATATGACGAAACTGTCTTGCATGCACATATGACAGATATTTCATGGCAGTTCTAAAATTAATGCTCTGTATCTCTTTGTCCATGACCCCAAACCTTGGAAGCCTTTTCCCATTCTGTTCTGTAAGGTCAATAATGGACATGGAATTATAGAAACACTTCTTGAATGGGTGAATGACGGCAGAGTAGCCTTGTCTTTGTAAAGAACAGAACACATTAAAGGAACGTTACCCCTTGTTTTTATTAGCTTGAAAGTTAAATAATCTTTGATTTACTTTAACATCACCCACTATTGTGTTAGCTGGTTGTCTTTAAGCTCCTGTCCTGTCCACTTTGACTCTTTATTGATACTTCCTGTTTCGATGTCTTGTGTATATTGTAGTAGGTTTCACTTGTTTGATTAATTTCTAGGCAACTACCTGAAGAAATGGGATAGGTGGGACTTCCTACTTTCTTTCAGGATGATGTGGTATAAGGAGGGGTACCCTGTGTTCTAGACTCACAGAATGGGGTTCAGCTACAAGCTAGCCATGTTACTTCCGTCTTGGTGCCAGTCTGCTTAGGTGTCAAGTGAGGATGATAATTCTAGCTGACCTCACTTACATTTGGGGGGGGGGATCAAAAGAAGCGGTCTCATTGAAATTGTACGTTGAGCTATAAAGTGCCACATAAACCAAGATGCTTATTATTCCCTGAGCCTAGGGCCTGTGAGGCCATATGATCTTCTTCCAGGGTTGTTTGTTTATGTTTGGCGAATTCCTCTTCCCCTCCCTATTCCTTCTGAGGTCCGCAAAGGTAAGGGATTGGCAGAGAAATAAAAAGATGTAGCTTTCCTGTAAACAAGCCCTCCCCCACTCAATCTCTCTTTGGTCTTTCTATTTATGAGTCCTCTTAGTCACAGGGCCCAAATGAAGGAATACCGTTGGGGCCCACGTGGGGATCCTGGGAGCTCATGGTCCTCAGATCTCAGAAATGGCCATTCTCCCTGGCAAACTTTTCATCACACTGCTTATTGTCATGAGCAATTTTATCACCTGCTCAGAAAATGATGTCATGGTCCTTAAAAAATTCTATTTCTAACCAAGATATTTTGTTTTATTTTTAAACATCCCTAGTGATCAAAAAATGTTCCTGCAAATCACCCTGACGGCATTCCACCTCCGTCATCTGGAATCAGATTGACTTTCCTGACAAAGTGCAAGGTGGATTTCTCCCTACCAGTGCTGTGGCATTGCTGATGTCAGAAACGGAGCTGGCTCTCTCCCCTTGGTTCCCAGCAGCGTTATACATAATCAAAGTTCTAGAAGCAGAGCTTTGCTGGCAGTTTTGTTTGGGGGAATGATGCATGGGACAGAGAGAAGTCCATTTTGGGCTCTGCGCTGCTGACACTGAGAAGACTCTTCGTTCCGGTTAGAATAAGACAATTTGACTCAGAAGGCATGTGGAGAGTGGAGCTAGACTCACGGAAGGCAGCACGACCTTATAGTATTGGAAACCGCACTGCCAGCACACAGGACTCGGAAGCTGTGCTTTTCTTTTTTAGTTGAAGAAATCTGGCCAACGATTCAGATAGGAGGCATAGCCCCTAGCTTTACCAGTTACTAGCTGCATTACAGTGAGGATCATCACTGCTTATTATAAAAGAGGGCACACCAACACCTGTGTGTGTGTGTGTGTTGTGAGGATTAAATGGAAAATTTTTAGATACTTGCTACTCTTGATGCAGTAGCATTTTTCAAATGAGAAGTGTGTGAACATGGGTTCTAGAGGCATCCATGTGCTGGACTTTGAGTTCCACTCTTTCCTGGTAATTTGCTTAACTCCCTGAGCATAAGGGTCCTTGTCTGTCACACAGGACTGAAATATCAAATTTACAGGGCCAGCCGAAGGTGTGAGCATACATTTAAAGTACTAGTAGCTTTGTGCCTGGAGTGTGTTTTCCACCCTGTAACTTGGTGTTATTGGGTATTCTTTGATTCCTGCCAAACCATTGGCGTGTTTCCCCTGTGAAATAATGGGTAGGCAGAAGCACAGAAAGGAGAAGTATATTACTACATTGGTCAGGATGGATCTGAAGTCTGAATCCACATCTTAGACTCACACCTGGCAGAAATTTTCTCTTAAATCCCAAATAAACTTAGGGCCTGCGTCTTCTGCTAGTACAAGCTGCATCTTGATGTTGATCCAGGGGGAAATCTCCTCGTAGATTCCACGCTGTTGATCCTGGAAAGTTTGTTACCTCCCACTGTGCAAAGTTCTCAGCTCTCAAAACATACACTATAGGACGTGTCTGACACACCTCTACAGTGGGGAGAAGACATGGGAGAATCACAAACAAAATAGAGAGCTCCATAGCCACAGGAAGCTGTTTTCAGTAACTACAGAAGGTGTTGGCACTAGAAACCCAGGACTGAAATTCCTTTCTTTCTGAAGGAAACAAGGGACCTAGAGTTTAAAGTGTGAGAACAGGAAATCATAGAGATCATTGGGAGAAACACACATGAGAGCAAACAGAGGCTATTGACAAAATTTGAACTCGAACTCCAACAACTTACTGAAGTGGACCATGCCAGTGCTCAATCTGACCAAGGAGTTGGGTCTCTTATTGCCACTTAGGAAGTAGCACCTTCGCTGGTAGACATTGTAGATTTGCCATGAACACATTGGATCTTTGAACTCAACACTAAAAAGCAGATGAAACATTGACCATTGCATTGATAATCCCCAAGAAAAGACCCTGGCCCTTTAAAAGCAATGTGATGATTTAGAGAAAATCAAGCTCTCCTTCACTTAAGGAACCTGAGGGGAGGAGCTCTTTAAGTAGAACTCTGCCATCCAGATGCTATGGAAGAGCAAAGATGAAGTATGTGCCCAGAACATGGGTACCCAGCTTATGGCCCATGGGCGGCATGTGGCTATATATGGCCCAACACACAAGAGTTGTAAACTTACAATGTGTGGGAAAAAAATGTAAGTCAGCTGTGTGGTTCTTGAGGGTGAACTTTGTAGATGTCAATATCACATCATGATCACCCCAAATAAATTCATACAGGCTCTCACTATTTGCAGGTAGGTGAAGCTTCTAGTTTACCACATTGTTATATAATTCAGCAGAACTGAGCTGGCACCAGCTGAGGTCACATGCACTTGTGTTGACTCTTTGCATGAAATGCAATAATTGTCAGTAGCATTTGCCCTACCCTTGCAAGCAGTGGGTGGTCGATGTTATTTTGAAGACTCCCAGATAAAGTCCTGACTCCTCCAGACAGACATGTGTAGTGGGTAGCCATTCCAGCTTTGATCTGGAAGTTCCAACCCCCACTGAGGCTTCAGTAACTGTCACGCCTACAAGGTGGGTCGAGACAGGACCCTGAAGACCTGAGATCTGGATGAGCAGGCTCTCTTGGTTCCTGGATCCAGGACGCTGAAGGTAGATCAAGCAGAGTTCTCCAGAGAACACCGCTGGACTGCACCACACCTTTCCCAGACCCTGTAGCCTATCCCTTCACTTGTAAGTTACCTCACAAAATAAACATCCCTTTTAACTATGTGGAGTGGCCTTAATAATTTCACCAATAGACATGTCTTCTTGTTTATTGTTAAATGTTTCCTTTGCTTCACAACTATGTTTCATTTATGTTATGACTTTCAGCACCACCTGCATTTGGGAGAAGAAAGCAACTTAGAGCAAAAATAAACCACCAATATCTGATTAGTGCCATGAGAACTCATTGAGAAACCATAACTTGCCTGAACCTCATACTGATGTCTCATTGTCTCAAATGTGGCGTCACATACCCCACTAGTTTTGTTTTGCCCTCTTTTTTTATTATTTACAATAAAAAGATGTAAACATCAGTGAAGTTCTACTACTTAGATGTGTTCATTTTCCTTATGACTGTTCATAAACTTAGGACCTGCTCAATGATTTGAGAAGACTCTCTGAACAGATACCACATCAGGACATTTTGCTTTTCTGTGGTGGCAGACATCATAAATTATATATGAACATATGTATTTATTTATATATTTATTTGTGGAGTAACGGATTTTGTTAGTTTTTGTGTATTGAATGAATGCCCTGACTGTTCATTGTTCAGGGTGTCCCAGAGAAGCCAAAGGATATAGCCCAGAGCATGAAGATGATCATTTCCTCATGAGACAGGGAGAGTCTTTATTATTTATGTTTCTTCAGCTTCAGTGTCTCTGCAGGTAAGTGAGGCTAGGCTAGTGTGGTGCTTTGAATAGGAATGGCCCCCATAGACTCATGTGTTTGAATACTTGGCCCATAGAGAGTGGCATTATTAGGAGGTGTGGCCTTGTTGGAATAGGAATGACATTGTAGGAGGAAGTATGTCACTTGGGGGGTGGGTTTTGAGGTCTCAGAAGCTTAAGCCAGTTCTCTACCTGCTGCCTGTGGATCAAGATGTTGATCTCTCAGGTCCTTCTCCAGCACCATGTCTGCCTGCATGCCGCCATGCTTCCAACCATGACAGCAATGGGCTAAACATCCGGAACTGTAAGCTAGCCCCAATTAAATGTTTTCCTTTGTGAAAGTTGCGACAGTCATGGTGTCTCTTCAGAGCAATAGAAACCCTAACTAAGACAGCTGGTGTAAGTGAAAACATTGTTTTAGTTCACTGTCTTCTCTCTCATCCATCCTCCTGAGCTACAGCACAGGACAGAAGGGAAAGCTGGCACTCTCATCTACTAGGACCATCCTATGAGTTGCCATAGTGCTTATCTCACAGTGTGAAAATCCGCAGGGCACCTGTGTCATTGGGATATTACGAGATATGGTTAATTAAAATATCATTAAAATTTTTAGATAAAACTTTGTGAAATTGCAATTGGGTAAGAGGGAGAAATTTCCCAGGATTATTGGTGAATTCTATTTATTGAGGTCATGTGGTTGACTATTCTTTGTGCATCTCTCCAGGAGATCAGGTGTCATGGCATTTGACTTTCGGAATCATGTGCCAGACTCCTTGGTGTTGTGTAAGGAGTCACTGAAGAGAGAGGGAGCAGGTTGTCTTATAGAACAGGATGGAAAGTTAGAAGTTGGGTAGACAGTTGAATCAGATTTGGTTAAAAAAAAAAGAACCAAAAAAATACAAACAAAACCAACAAAGTAGCATACATCCTGTTAAATTTAAATTCTAGTTAAAAATACCGTGTCTCAAAAAATTAGTATGTCTCAATTAAAACTGTATTTTATTGTAAATTCAAACTTAGATCTGAGTCTTCTATATTTTATTTGGTAGCCAGGATATTTGGGGGCAGGGAAGGTTAATAAAATATCCTTTGAAAAATAGTGGCTAGCTTCCACAGTGCCCCCACACTCCTTGCCTGGTTTCATAGCAACAGACTTACTGTTCCCAATTGCAGATCAGATCAAAGGTGAGGAGTGAGTGCTCCAGTCACTTGGCTAAGGGTGTGATGAGCAATGGTGTCAACACCCAGGCACGGCTGTTTTTCAATTCCTTATTTGGAAGTTTTGATAGATTTAGGTTTATTCTAACAGTGCACAGAGCAAGCACCCATGTGACCTTCTTCGGCTTCTCCTAATGTTAGCACCTTGCACCTTACACACTCACAGAACAGAGATAGAACTAAGGAATTGGCCTCAGTACCCTGGGGCTCACTGCAGTTCACACTTCATCCATACCCCATCAGTTATGAGGCAATGTTCTTTCCCTCTTTGGGATCCCATCCAGCCACTTCTGCTGTCCTTTGTTTCCCCACCTCCTGCTACCGGAAACAGTTTTAGCATTTCCTCCTGTTTCACCTCTGGGCTTTAAGATGAGGACTAAGGAGTCATTCTGCAGAATGTCATCCAATTTGGCTTGCTTCCTGTTCCATCAGGCTTATGTTGAAGGTATTGGGAAGGACATGAGAGGGGGGAATGTGTCCTTCTCAGGATATGTGCTCAGGTCTAATGGTGACATTAACTTTAATTGCCTGGCTAGGATGTCCCTCACTTGGTTTCTTCACTGTAAATTTCTCTTTTTTCATTTTGTTTGGTAAAAATCTTCAGAAGAGACAAAGAGGGTACAAAAATGTCTTGTTTTTCATACACTTTTACTAATTAAGTACTTAAATGCCCAAATATACCAATAGTCTAACTTCTAGTGCTCTTGTTCAATGCCTTTATTATTGTCGTGCCATTTTTTAATTTTCCACTTTATTTCTGCCTTCATCACTGGAATGTTTCTGTCAGAAGAAACTGTTGCTTTAGCCCTTATTTAATCTAAGTTATTTTAATTGCAAATGTATTGCTCTGTTGACCAACACACATACGAAGGAGTGTTTTAGCTAAAATGAAAATATGACTGTATCGAGTCACTGAAGATGGGAGATGAAGACAAGTCACTTCACTGGTAGTGACTGAACACTTGCTTCTATGTGGTGCAATCTGGACAAGAGAAATATGCAAACGATCCCAGAAGATTAGGAAATCAAAGAGAAATAGTGAGGGTCCATGTTATGAAAATCATAGTAAAACTTTTCAACGAAATTTTGAACTGAGAAAATGCTTCCACTCTTGACTGCTGCTGTGTGTGTATATCGTGATGCCTCTATGGGGTCTTCGTAGCGGTCTCGACTGTATGTTGTGTAGCGCATCCCCAATGAGATGATTTTGTGGACCTGGTAGGGTTTAAACATCACAACCTATTTCTCCTGATGAACAGAGAGAGAAGGGGCTGGTTCAAGATCATCTTTTTAGCTGCATCAAGAACCTGATTCCTTCTCACCTGGGAGCGATTATGAGCTTTCAGTGAATTTAAATGTTCCCCTCATTAATGAAATGGGAATTAACAGACATATAGACCTTTCCTCCAACCTGCAATCTAGGTGCTCACTTTCTTAACTGGTCTGGAATAATCTTAGTGTCCCAAATATCTTCACAGCAAAATGAGATGTCATGGTAAAACACTGTCTTTCTGTCTCTCTCTCAAAAATGAAACATATTCAATAACAGCATTCAAAAGAATAGCAAAGCCCTTGGAAATTCCTGGGGTGCAAGTATGGATGAATGGAACATCTTTCTGCTATGAAGAAACAATTTACAGGTTAGAATGTGGACTGTTTAGGACATGCCCATGATGCTGATGAGACATATCAACTTCATTACACTAACACCATAAAAATCTATCAAAGGATCTAATTCTGGCTACCACAGCCTTTTAATGGGGGTGGGAATCGAACCCCACATCTAAGCACTCTACCATTAAACCATTCCTCAGCTGCCATTTATGTTCTTATAAAAGTGCTGGCAGTGGCTTGATTGGAGGAGTAGGTAGGGTTTGGATTCAGGAAGTAGTTGCATCTTAGAGAGAAGGACGTTGAGATTCAGTGTCATAACAGCACTTTCCAGAAGAATGGCGGATACTCCACAGAGGGCTTAACTTGACTTGTTGGGCAGGCCTAATGTGTCTGAGGCTTTCTGTTTTAGTTTGTACCACATCACCTACAGTCACTGCCATTCCTGAAATGCTCCGCATCTGTAAACAGAGTAACCGCATACCCTATGTTGCGCAAGCAGTTCAGATTCTTCATTTTTTTTTTGTAGTGTAATAATTAAAGTGTGATTTTTTTTCCACTCTCAAAAGTTCCCTCAGCTGGGTCAGCGTTTTCTGTGGGAGCTGTCTGTGGAAGAGCTCAGGGGATCTCCCATAAGGTCTCACTCCTTAAGGTGATAGGAAAGCAACTGTTGACAAGCTGAGCATATGCTACAACAGATAACATGTAGATTTTCATGCTTTCTAATGTCAAATGTCACGCATGTGTTTGTGCATGAATATGTTTTTCTTTTTCGCTGATCTGGAGAAACCTTACAACAATTACAAATTATTATAATTTGATTCTAAGTATATGTGTGTTATAGATGGGTCTTCAGTTTACAAATGCTTTTCTTTCTGTGTAAAAATATACTTCTGTATCCCCAATGGTCCACGGTGAGTTTGTGCCAAATTTATACCAAAGGATAACCTTTAACATTGGAGTTGAGAAGTCCCAGCTGAAGTGTGTATTTTGGAGAAAATAAGATGATGGAGTTGGGACATGATAATAATTCTCACAAATCAAAGTCCTCATTATAAAGTACTTTATGACCACATTTTCTCATTCAGTCTTCATAGAAGTGTTAAATTGGTGCTCCTGTAGTAACTGAACTGAAGATGAAGGTGTGAGGTGAATGTGATAGGTCTAGCATCTCTGAAGTGGTTCCCTTTCAGATCCTTTGCATGACTTTTAAATGTTCTGCATTGGCTCCCAGGCTAAGAGGAAGACGGCTCCGTCTCTCTCTCTTTTTAGGTTAGTTTTTGTTGCTTGTCTCTCATTCCCCCTCCCCCATTCTCCTTGCTCTGGCCAGGGACACTGCCGACTAGAAGGAAGAGAATGCACAGCAATGCCCCGGTATAACACAGGAAGCTTGTCCATGGTGGATAGCAGAGCTTTAGCTCTGTAATCTCTGATGCAAGCCATCCAGTGAGACACTGCTGTGTTGTGACTATGCCATGTGACTTAGGACAAGTGGCTTTCTCTGCTTGAACTTTCTGTTCCTTCTCGTGCACTGTGAACTTTAAATCATCCATCCTGTGGCAATCTCTGGTTCTGGTGGGCTTCTGAGGGGAGTGAATTCCAAACTTGTATTCTGGAGCCACCCTGTCTAATGCAGGCTCTATTTTGCTCTTGGAATAAACCCAAAGAAAAGGTCAATTTTGCAGACATCTTGAGGTTGTATTCCAATGTCCTCATTAAA